GACAAAAACACTCAATTTGCTTTAGAAATCTGGTCTCAAGCATCAGGGTGCGGATTCCGTCAGTATAAGGTTTGACTCCTTGAAGATTTGGAATATCTTTTTGTCACACACTTGTGACACGACAGAAAAAAAAACATTCTTTTAGACTAAAAATGTTCCAATGAGTTATCTGAATTTACCGGCATTTTCAATAATAACTGCAGCAAACAAACTAAGCTTGATTATTTTTAGCATTTCAGAAATTATCGTGCATTAGAGCGACCTAGACATTTATCACTTACTTTGAAAATCAATTCGCTGATTCTCAATAAACCGGTCAAAAAGCGCGAACAACCGGCGAACAACCGGCGAAAAACTGGCGAAAAACCGGCGAAAAACCGGCGAGTGCGACCGAATTAATGAGCGCGGTGATACAAGGAATCCAAGCTGAAATCACAATGAAGCCCAAGAGAAAGTTTTGCCTGAACAATGAAGGCAAAAAAAAAATCATTACCATTACGCTTTCTTCAATTTGGATAAGTAAAACGCAAGCTTTGTGGTAAGAAAAGAAGTGTGCCCCTATTCCTGTGAATTCGGCTGTCGTTCATTCATAAATGAATAATAATTTGAACAATTTGTTTTCTAATTGTCATGAAAAAAAAAGGAGTTTTTTATGAGCCACAATTCGACCGAATCTCAGTTAGTGCACATTTCACTTTTAGATTCAGTATTAAAACTAAAAACGTTTAGGAAAAAGTGTTAAATTTGACCTGCCGAACTATTTCAGTTTGTGAATTATTGCAGATATGCGACCAATCAGTTTATTTGAACCATTCTAACAAGGATTGTAATTGGCTTGTTGTTGCGTGCTTTATGAGAGTAAAGAGCAAGCTTACGACACTGTTGTTCGCTTTAGAAATAAACTTTGCTCTGAAAATTGAATGTGATGCCTGGGGAGTTTAACGGATTCTTTACTATAAAACAAATGGAGTGCTTTGACTCAAGAAGTAGGGAGAAACACTCGACTACCACTAGTGTTTCTCCCTGCTCTTCTTTCGTGCTCTAACCGCTTTCTACGTGCTTTACAACAGAACAAAGCACAGTTGAGGCTTCTCTATGTATTTTATTTAATAAAAAAACAGGACCTGTTTCCCCGGTTATGAAAACCATAAACAGCAGGAAAGCTGAAGGTAACAGGACCAATGATCCAAACATGTCGTTTCCTTTCGTTGATTCCTGTCGATCTGTATAAGGGAATTTAAGAGATACATTTAAGGCCTTGTGTCCGAGAGGAAAGTGTCGTTTGGTGTGTCATAGGATTGCAAAGTGTAGTAACAATTATTCTAACATATGACACGGGTCTTGTAAACGCAAGAAAGTCATACGTTTTTCACTTCGTTTTTCAAACAGTGAATATTATTTTAAAATGTTGATATGCCCTAAAGCAGAATTCAATAGGATATTTTAATTTTAGAATCGTACAAATTCACGATTTCCATCACAAACTTACACAATTTACTGGCGGTGAGTTCTATTAAACAAAGATTTAAGCAAACTGAATTTCAGCGCAAAGCCTTGCAATAGGCCATTTTACAGTTGTGTACTAGGCCAAGCCTTTGATTTGGAGTGAGGCTGAAGGTGACCTTGCTGTGATACTAAACAAAACTTATGAGAATGTAAGTCCTCTCTCTGACTTCAACTGAGGCTTTGCGACGTAGGGGTCAATTCTTTAGAACGGTTAATATTATTTTAAGTATTGACATGTCCCAAAAGTAATTTTCAATAGGAGATTTTGACTTAAATCGTACGTTTTTCAAAAATTTCAGCGCAAAGCCTTGCAATTTTCGAGTCGTAACTTCTAGTAAACACAAATTCAAGTAAGGCGAATCAACTTGGCGGGTCTCGTAAAAACAAAAAATTCGTACGTTTTTCGCTTTGTTTTTCGAACAGTGAGTATTGCTTTTAAATCTTGCTATGCCCCAAAAGTATTGTTAAATAGATGATATTAATTTCAAACCGTACAATTTCAGAATTTTCATCACAAACCTACACAATTTTCTGGCCGTGAATTCTAGTAAACAACGATTCAAGCATGTTCGATCTACGAAGTGTTCACGCACATGCAAAAGATTCGTTTTTCTCTTTAAGCTTTTTATCATCATACTAAAAATCCTTCAAATACATTTTTGGTCTAATATATTTCGTGGTCGTCTTTGCCTTATCATAAAGTCATAGCTTTCGGGTAGATCGCGATTACCTGGGAGACCCGACACAATAGTGATATTTTAAAAAACTCTTTCTTCCAGCACAAGTCATGCTTTTAACCGTTCGTAGATCGAGTTATGAATACACGCAGGAGACTTTGAAAGCACCAGGGAAGCGCTATAGTTGCTGAAGGCACAGCCGAGAGCAACTTAAGCTTCTTGATTGCTCTCCAAACTTCCCGCGTGCATCCATGATTCAATATACGCACGCTAAGCATGAACCAAGGTCTTGGTAAAGAGCGTGGGCCAGTACGAAGAAGAGTTTTAAAGATAACTTTAACTATACCAATTGTAGCCCTGAGTATGTTTTAGAATTGGCTCTAAGTTGATTGAAATAAATACACCGCTAATGTCACGGGAGCGAGCTCTTTTTTGGCACAATTACTCCAAGATAGCACTAAAGTTTCAAAGTTGAGCTTTGTTGAATTCACTCTAGCGTGACATCCGCCACTATCGACTATTCTTTATGAAATTAGCAAGTATCCGAGACGTGTGGCTTGTTTTTATGCTCACTTAAGTTTATATCAAATTCATAGAATCGGATTTTAAAAGAAAGGAATCTTGTGGTTGGTTTTGTCTCTAACCGAGGAATTATGGCTGTGTTCGCTTAGATATTTCAGACAAAAAACATGCAACTTATGTGCCTGTTCAGAGGAGAACTGATTTCAAGTCATTGAAGACCTTTTTTCCCGTGAAACATCGGTTACAATGACACATAATTATATTTATTATATTAATATTATTGGATTTGAAATAGGATAACCACCAGATACCTCACTAAAACATAACGGTTTCAAAGCGTATCACATTTCTGAACATGATAGACATTTCCGTCACTACATACTCAACCAAAACCATCATTTTCGATCCCTGATCCCAAGTATTTTGTAGGATAGTAGATAAAATCTAGTTGCCTATTAAGTAAAAAATGGTTTTGAAGAGTGATAGTGTTTGTCCCTGGTGTAGTTACTTACTTGTCAAGGTGTTGCTGCTGACATAAGTATGTAGATCAAGCAAATGAGATCTGGAGGGCTAACCCTTCAAACGTCTGCTTTAGAAACCCTTTACTTTGGCCAGTTTGCTTTGGCCAATGGGCTATTTCCGAATTACCTTTAGCCTCTTTTTCATAACAAGGCCTGGTGCTTCTATGAAAATGAGTTTAATTTGCATGTGAATGAAAACTTATAATCCTATGAAGGGTTGTGGACCAGGACTCGCTTTGAAAATAAAGGGCTATTTACATAAGCTAATTATCTTGTTATACCTTCAGCCGACACAGCATCATACTAAGTTTCTCAAGAAACTTACCCTCTGAGGTCTGGAATTGCTCAGCTACCGAGGCACTAATGATCTAAGACCATCTAAGATGAGCTACGTTTTAAGGAAATGGGTGTTACTAAATTTAGGCCCGCGGCCTCGACGTCCGACCTCATCAAGACCTGTAGCCATAACAGGTTAGCCAAAGGGCAATAGACTCTAAAATGTTGGAATATTGCGCTATTTTAAGTTCACAGAAGGTAAAAATGTCCATTGTTTTCACGATAGAGGATCGCTACTTGAGAAATTTTGTTGACAAATCTTACTTGTCACAGAAAATAAAGTGCTATTTACATAAGCTAATTATCTTGTTATACCCCCAACCGACAAAGCATCATAATATGATTCTTAAGAAACTTACCCCTTGAGATCTGGAATTGCTCAGCTACCGAGGCATTAATGATCTAAGACCATCTAAGATGAGCTACGTTTTAAGGAAATGGGTGTTACTAAATTTATGACCCGCGGCCCCGGCGTCCGACCTCATCAAGACCTGTGGCCATAACAGGTTGGCCAAAGGGCAATAG